ACAATTTTCTTTAATTTTTCCAAAATATCTCGATTTTGAAAACTTTGTTTTTTTCACCCTGTTCCTAAACAGCACTTTTGATCATTTTTGCAGGAGATAAAGCCCTTCAATAAAGCCTTCGACTGTGAAAAAATAAAATGGAAACAAACACCCCTTGGTGTTTTGGTAATTATTATTAATTATTATTTATTAATATAAAATATATAAAGATTCTTAGAATATTTTCTCAACTAACTGAAATGAAAATACATACACCTAGTAAACAAAAAAAAAAGAACAAATATAAAAAAAGACTTAATTATAAGCGCAGCTTTTTGCTTCAGATGGCCTTGCTCAAATTGTTATTAGAATAAGAAAAAATAAATTGTCTTTACAGAATGGCTACTTTTATTAATAGTATATTATTGAGCTGTTTATTTAAACAATTCCTAGTGTATTTTTTTAATTGTGTTTATTGTCAGCCATGTCGGTAACGCAGGCATCTGATGAGTTTTTGAATTTGACATTTTCAATTTGATTTTCGAAAATTCAAGTTATAATTGATGTTTGACTGCTTTCGCGCGTTTGTTTAGTAGATCCGTTTGTGTTATTTTTATTAATTAAAAAGAAACTAACTTTTTGCGTTAGTGCCACGCGAAATAAATCATAGTTATATCACAGATTAACCGTTTACCAGATCTGTGGTTATATCACAATCACCATGACGTTAGCAGTGCGAGTTGAAAAATTTCATTCAACATGACCCTGTCTTGGATTTTAGATATATATATATATATATATATCTGAATAAGATAAAAAAAATAAAATATTAGTAAATATACATTATATTTAAACAATCTTACAGAAACCTTTAGCTAACTTCAGCCCGTAACGTCTAATCTGTGACCGTGTTTCTGTTTGCGCAAGCGCAATAGACCCGAATTGTCGACAACATGGCAGCGGCGCTTTCATACGAAGGTAAATAAACAATTAATTTTACCTTAAAATCAACAATTAATTGCACGGTAACACTCTTTGTAACAATAATTAACCACAGTCACTGTTACATTGTTGATTTAGGTTGAGTTATGATAATTTGAGGTTAAGCCCCCTTGTTTTGTTCCAGATTTGCGCAAACATGCGCGCTATTTGGAGAACGAAATAGATTTGAAACTTGTCGCTTTCAGTAAACTGGGGGCTGGTATAAAGTCGCCCCCTGCCCACTCAAGCTCCGACGCTGTGCCCCTCTTATCCGGCGAGGATACATTCGAGGCTATGGCCCTAGAAATCGAGGAATTGCTAAACAAAGTAAGCCCCAAGATCCCCAAAACGCAATTACAGCTATTCCGTAGTTGACACAAGTGAATGAGAGAATGGCCGAACAACCTGTCTCGGGGGCTGCCATGCTTCACACCCTCCAACGCCACCGCGATATTTTAGCCGACTTATCACGCGATTTCCGAAAGACAACCTCGCAGCATGAGATAAGGCGAGAAAGGGAGGATTTGTTACGGGGGTCAAATGACACGTTTAGGGGTGATGGTGTTAATAATAGGCGCGATATTTATTTGAAGGAAAATCAACATTTGCACAGGTGAGTGGGGGAAAGTGAGTCGACTTGATTTTGGTTTGGTTGTAGTTCAGACAGGTTGGTTAATGAGCAAATTTCCATTGCCATGGAAACAAGGGATCATTTGACCAATCAGAGACAGACTTTTAAAAGATTGCAGACGAGGTTTAATGATTTGTCAAATAGATACCCGGTTATCAATAGTCTGATTCAAAGGATTAATATTAAAAAGAGGAGGGATTCCATTATTTTAGGGTTGGTCGTTTCAGGGTGCACCGTTTTGATGCTACTCTACGTTTTTCATTGATATATTGTGATATATTTATTATTGTTTAACCAAAAATTCTAGGGAAATGTTAGCTTGACGGTATTTATATTTGTTATTGAATAAAATAATTTTTGTACTCAAATACCCGACTATCCGAAAAATCCTACCTGCAATAAGTAAAGAGCGTAATTAAATATTTTATTGGCAACTAATTTTAAAAGTTACATTGCTATGATAGTTGCTAAAATTAAATGCAATTATCTATGTTTACTTTTACAAATATACCAAGAACTAATGAGTTTACAATTTAGAGATGAAACCTAAACAAAAACGAAATATTTTAAGAAGCTGTCCCACTGCATATAATGCCCTGGCTTAGAAAATATCGTAAAGGAACTGTTATATTTTTTACAATTAAATACTTGATCTTATATACATTATAACATCAAAAAGTGTAAAGAAATACATAATAGTGAAAAAAATTATGTACAATTTCCGCAATGTTTTTATTGACCTTGAGTCGGTAAAACAGTTTAAAAAAATATTGCGAAAACCAACAATATTCTACAGAGTCTATACATTAATGGTATATAAAATAAAATAGTCATTTTTTTATGTACTCGAGTACCTCCCTAACAATTATTGTACAAGGATCTGATCTGGAAACATAGATAACATGGTTATATTGTTAATTTAATTTAATCCCAAATCCGCGAAATCGTGACAATTCATTCAACTAGTGCAAAATTTTACAAACTTTTATACCTTTTAATGTCATCACAGTGTTCTCAATAAAACGAATGCAACATAGCAACAATCCTTGTGATTAGTGTCGTAAATTTGGTTAATTAAAGAAAAGTCAAGTGCACTATGTGTTTTTTTTTATTACCATCAGTGTTAAAACCAAACAAAAATTTATTACATTTTCCAAAACTTGTTTAATGTCAACAAGACAAACACTAATAAAATCTCTTTAAAAAGCCACGATAAAAACAAAAAATAAACGAATTCGTCTAATCACAGTACGTTCAGCCTTTATTTTCCTTGATTTAATCATCGCCAACCGAACTTTGGAAAATGCAATGCAGTATTAATTACTCGACGCTGTTATCTGAGGGTTACTATTCGTCGGCTGGCCGTTACTGTGCTTGCACTGGTCGGGTACTTCCCCGCAGTCTCTTCGCAACTTTGAGAAGCAACCGGTGCACACCCTCACCGGATTGTACAGCTGTTCGGAGGGCAAAGGGGTGCTATTTTCCGAACAACTCGCACAGAAAATCCTCCCACATTTCCTGGAAAAACTAGGCTCAGCCGAGTCGCAAACCATTTCTACCACAAATCCCTACCTGCAATGGTGTTTCCGTTTCCCGACCCAGAACTCCGTCTGACACCCCGTACACCGACTGACCGCATGGTCTGGCACCCACAGCGTCGTCGTACACTCAGTCAAAATCGAATTTTCCTCCAAAGCCTCCCACGACATGTCCGATCGGAGAGACTCAACAGCGGAGGCTTGCCCCTCCCCGGCGCTGCAAACCGACTCGACAACCGAACTCTGCAAACAAACCGAATCGGTTAAAACCGGCACACTCCCTAATGCAATCACACACACAACACGCATGCTGGGTTTAAGAGAAAATCAAACTCGACATTAGTGTGTTAATTAACACTTGACTGACCGCTTTATTGGAAACGGGGCTCGAAATTCTGTGGGGGCTGCGATTAGACGCTTCCGATTCGCTATCAGACTAGGAAATAAATGCGACGCGTTTGAATCAAGAGTTTATCTCGTTGAATACTTACAGCGTCGTCGAGTTTTTCATCGTTGTTGTTACACCTGTGACACGATTGTCTCAGTAACGCCTGTCTGTAAGTGTGTAACTCCTTCTCGAGTTGCTCCTCTTTGCGTTTGTGCTCTTGGATGATCTGCCACAGTCTTTCTTGGGCCGCTGATGTGACTGGGACCAAGCCATCGTCGCCGAGACTGTATGGGGGCTGATGCCACGGCTTGTGGGGCGTGTCCCAGCCGCTGCTACTCGACGTTCGCGAGTACATCGGCGAAATGCAGTTGACTAAACTCAATTGAGCATTCAGTTTGGGGGGGTACCCGTCGGGCAAGTCGGGGCTTTGGAGCTTCTCAAAACCGTTCACTTCCAAAGGGGACGAACTGAAAAAGCACGCAATTAATCAGCCAATCAGCGCACCGGCTTCTTCCAGAGTGACTCAAAGCGGTTACCTCGGATTTAACAAACAAAAAACGCGGTTACTTCAGTGGCAACTTCGATTTCTTCAATTTCCAACCAACCAAATCCTAAACAAAATTTCACAATTTAGAATTTGCAATCGCAAGACACAAACCGGTTCAGAAATCTAAATCAGTCGGGCATTGAAAGGGCATAAAAAATAGTGTATATTTATTGAGACAGATTTAACACAATTTATCACAATTATAAAATAAAATCTCACCTAATATTGTGATTATCTGAAACTAATGTATCGGTACTCGTTTCTAACTTCTCGCATAGTGTATTTTCGCTCTTCTCGGTCAACTCATTATCAGAATCGACTTCGTTATTGTGGTTATGGGACGGCGTCAGAAACTCATGTAGACACACACCGCGTACATCATCCTCACAGTCATCAACAATATTATCAGTCTTATCACCGTTTATCACATGGTCTGTTAAAAAATCACCGTCCCTCACTCCCGCACTGCCGTTCAGTATTTTAAACGTCGGTTTATCGTCTTTGTAAATACAGTCCTTGTTGCACTCCACTTCGTCCGTATCGTTGCATAAAAAATCGCCTTGTTTGACTATGTCCTGAGTTGGGGCGTTTTCCTGAGACATCACTGATAGTTTCTTATCGATATTAATACTAGGGTCGCTGCTACGTCTGAACTGATTGGGACAGACGTCGGCGGCGTTTATCAAATCTCCGTATGACCGAGTTTTGGTCATGTGGGACGGGGAAGTCTCAGGAGGGCCTGGACACGACCCGGAGCCCCCATCTGTGCTGAAATTAGACTCCCAGGAACCCAAATACACCTCACGCCACAATTGTAGATCGCGAACGTTGCACTGCGGCCACAAAACCTTGTTTCCACAACTATTGCCTGGTGATGCATACAGATGATTTTTGAATCGAGGCGAATTTAAAAATTCCCAAACCGAAAACGTTTTACCATTGACTACTTTCATTCTTTCTTGAAATGTGTTGCATAGGAAAGTTCCGTAGATATTTGAATAGACATGTTGAGCTAATTTGACCTTTGAAAAATCAATAATTAGGATTTTTTTTAATGTTGATTGATTAACTTACGAGATAACTTTGACTGAATTCAAAAGCACAAGAGAACTGTTGTAAAAGTTGATGAACACAATCCAACCACTGTAGAAACACAGGACATCGTTCATTCGGGTCGTCGTTACTTGAATGACCACACCTATCGGCGAATTTGTGTCCGAAGGCGAGCCATTCGCGTTCGATTAAAATACGAAAACCCTGGAAAAAAATCATTAACTCAAAATTGTGGAAAGAAAATTGATTAATATATATTTCTACGTCTATAGATTGTTATTTTTGAAAACGAACGAAATTAATTAAACGCCACCAAATGCGGACCGCAGACTAAACAAAAATGTCGTAAGTAATTAAATTATACAAAAAGTGAAAAATAAAACGCATAAATTGTTGTAATTTTATGTTGTATGCAGTAATATCTAAACGATTTTACAATTATTTATCTGAATTAATTTTTTTAACAGCAATTTTAGTGACGGGCTTAGATTCATAGTTTTTGCAAAATATTTTAAGCTTATTATTTTGTAGTAATTATAATTTTTTAAATTTGTGCAATATTTTGCCGTTAAAAGTGCAATTTTTGACAAAACTTGGACCGAAAACTAAACTTTCAAATCATCGTATTTTTATTTTACTTTGTTTTTTTTTATTAAAACCATTAAGTAACCTTCTAAAAAACATGTTTTAATGTAAATTTTGTCAAATTGCCAAGTTTTTCATGTCGGGAACTGCATATTACTGTTTTTATATTTTTGTATTGTTTTTTTTAATATTAAAAGTTACTTTTTTTAAATATTATTACGAGATTTATTGTATACTTTTCAGATTAAGTAATCTTTACAATGTATTCAATTGAATTTTCCATTTACCTAAAATCAATTAAACTGCGAAAATGCGGACCGCAGACTAAACAAAAAAATCTTTTAATTACATATTTTTGTGTAATTACAAGTATTCGATGACGTAATAAATGTAAAATGAAACACACAGATCGTTGAAAGTTATTCGTATGGACTAGTTAGGTCAAAATTGCAATTTTCGATTAAATGCGGACCGCAGACTAAACAAATGTTACTTCCTATTTTTTTTTGAAACAGTGGATCTTTAAACTTTTAAACGGCTTTACAATTATTTATCTAAATTAATTTTTTTAACAGCAATTTTAGTAACGCAGACCACAAGCAAAGGCTTACTGCTGATTCATAGTTTTTGCAAAATATTTTAAGCTTATTATTTCGTAGTAATTACGATTTTTTAAATTTTTGCAATATTTCCCCGAAATAATTGTGTGAAAAGTGCAATTTTTGAAAAAATTCGGAGCGGAAACAACTTTCAAATCATCGTATTTTTATTTGACTTTGTTTTTTATTAAAACCATTAAGTAACCTTCTAAAAAACATGTTTTCCCAAGCGTTTTAATCTAAATTTTGTCATATTTTTACAATATTTTTGTGAGATATATTGTAATCTTTACAATGTATTAAATTGTTCATTTTCCATTTACCTAAAATCAATTAAACTGCGAAAACGCGGACCGCAGACTAAACAAAAAAATCCTTTAATAACATATTTTTGTGTAATTACAAGTATTCGATAATGTAATAAATAAATGTAAAATGAAACACACAGATCGTTGAAAATTATTCGTATGGACTAGTTCGGTCAAAATTGCAATTTTCGATTAAATGCGGACCGCAGACTAAACAAAAAAGTCAAATTACACACTTTCGTCTAAGTAAAAATTAAATTATGCAAAAAGTGAAAAATAAAACGAATAAATTGTTGTAATTTTATGTTTTATACAGTAATATCTAAAGACAATATGAAATAATTCATTCTGTTAAAATTAATTTTGTGTTAACGCGAACCGCAGACTAAACAAATGTTACTCTTCTAACTTCCTACTTTTTTTTGAAACTGTGAACACATCTTTAAACTTTTAAACGGCTTTACAATTATTTATCTGAATTAATTTTTTAACAGCAATTTTAGTGAAGCAGTCCACAGGCAAACTCTTACTGGCAGATTCATAGTTTTTGCAAAATATTTTAAGCTTAATATTTTGTAGTAATTACGATTTTTTAAATTTGACTTTGTTTTTTATTAAAACCATTAAGTAACCATGTTTTCCTAAGTGTTTTAATCTAAATTTTGTCATATTTTTGTGAGATTTATTGTATACTTTTCAGATTAAGTAATCTTTACAATGTATTAAACTGTTCAAAGAATTTTCCATTTACCTAAAATCAATTAAACTGCGAAAACGCGGACCGTCGACTAAACAAACGTTCATATTTCTTCCACAAAGTGGGGCTTTATAAAAAAATGTCGATTTCTAGTGCTACCAACCATTGCAAAAAAACCCTACGACTTACATCCATAGTCCTATAATGCGGGTCAAGTAAAAGTTCCGCCAAAGCCACAATTTGTGGCGTCCTATCCCAACCATCGGAACAGTGGACTAAAACAGGCCTTGCTTCCCTCTCCACAGCATTAACCAAAGTCACTGCAGCTTTCATTAACCCTGACATATGCTGCAACCAGCGGGTACCCTCGAGTTGACTAAACCAACTAAAAAATACAAAATTTGCAAAATTCTTAAACACCCCCACAAAAACTCACTTCGGTTGATCCGCCGACGACGTACACAACAATCTAAGTGCATTGAAACTCTTCCGGATGGAATGTATATTTGCCAAATTCATAAATTGTATCTCACAATTGGGGTAGTATTCTGGACACTCACACCCTCCACCTCTCGCTCGATTCGCTACAGCCGTCGTGTATGACCTCGCGTCCATAATTAGAACTTTTTTCTCTTTGGTACTAAGGTCCGTTGTGATTTGAAGGGAATCCTCCGAGTGTAAAGATCCCGGTGAATGACTCAAAATCGACTCTTTGTCGTTTCTCTGATCAAAATTACATGCTTGCGAGATGGCTTTTATCAAATCCTCGTCTTCGCTCGACCGCCAACCCAACCAACCGACTTCCGGTTGGCTACAACGCGCGATTACAGCGCCGTTTTTCGTGTGGCGCCACACAACCGCCGGAATTCGACGCGAACTACGAAACTTTGCAACGCATTCCAATGTTTCGTCGTTGATGCAAGACGGCACGATTAGATAAGGTGGATAAGTGGGACACAGTTTATAGTTTTTGTTGGCGTCACTGATCCTCCAAGAATCACCCTCGAACTGCAACCGTTCCATCTAAAAATACAAATAAGAAAAACAATAAAAAAAAAAGATACGACAAACCTCCTCTTTGAATAATTTGTAATCAAATGTGTAACGTTTCAAGTTTCTGATTTTATCGTCGATTTCTTCACCGCCTTTATCTTTCGCCCAGATGAAATGGTAGAAAGCAAAAATCTGCTCCAGCTGGCGGGGGGGTTCCCCCGCCTTCGAAATGCGCTCAAACCACTCCATGCAGCTCTCGTTGTTGCCGAAAATACACCTACACAAAAAATTATAATTAAAACAAGTTATACAGGGCGCTCAAAAATGGTAACAATGATTATTTCCTAGGTTACTGAGGTTTCAAGAATAATTAATTTGTGCTGTTGTCATATCCAATTTTTTTGAATATATTTTTTACCAATAACTTTAATGGATATACAGGGTCACTAAAAAATATGGATACAGCTAAATATTTTTAGAACGGTTTAGCAGAACACGTTGAAATTTGGGAAACAGTTAGAAGTATTTAAACCATATCAGAGATCTTTTATCAATTTTCTACCATCATTTGTTTTGAAAATATAAGGTTAACTTGATTTTTTTAAATGGCACGAAGAGTCAAATTTAGTAATTTTAAAGAGAGCATTTTTTTCTGAATTCAGTGATGTAACATATGCCCACCTTTATTTTTATTAAAAGATAAAAAAAAATTCAAAAATGTAATTCTGGAAAAATAAAACTAAGGTAGTTTTGAATAGCGATGAGTTATTTGCATATTAGCCAAAAATAGTTTAACAATGGTACATTTAAGTGAAACTAAGCTTATAGAAATTTTCAAGTTAATGGCAATCATTTTGAACATCTTTTGTAGCATAAAAATTATGTATTTTGTGTTTAAGCTTTTTTAAATTAAAAAAATTAACAATTATTATTAATTTTCACTTATTTTTTTGGTCAAAGTTCAGGCGGCAAAGAGGTAACGATAGATAAAGACAATTTCCAAGGCTAACAAAATTTTACATTTTTCAAAATTTTATTAGTTTTTTTTTTTTTAAGTTTTGATTAAACATGTATTGCATCACAAAATTCAGAAAAAAATGCTCTTCTTAAAAATATTAAATTTCACCCTTCTTGCTATTAAAAAAAATCAAGTTAGCCTTGTGTCCTCATAGCAAATAGAAATAAAAATTTTATAAACAATTGACACGACGGAATTTAAATATTTTTAAGCATAAACCAAATTTCAATAAGTTTTGATGAAAAGTTTTTATAATATTTAACAGTATCCATACTTTTTAGCGACCCTGTGTTTTATTATAATAGTAATTATTTTTCTCTTTATATGAAAGCATATCGGGGTGCGTCGCTTTTTGACCGGCCTGTATAGTAAAAGTGAAACTAGTTGATCAGACAATCAATTGCATGAAACAGAAAATAAGGTGCAGCGACCTGTTATTATTAATTTAGCAAATTATGCAGTCAGGAATTTAGATAAAGATTACTTAGAAAAGTTGAATAGATACGCATTAATTGACTGGTAATTAATGTTTACAGGAAATAGCGTTGTTCTAAAAATAGTACAGATAAAAATAAGAAATAACCACCGTAAAAATGACAAGTTTTTTTGACTCATTTTTATGTTTATTAACAAAACTCAATTGCAGGAAATTTTTTCTATTAATACCTCTAGTACTATTAAAACGATAAAAATAGCAACTAATACTTTAAAAATGTACACAAAATTTTATACGTAAAAAACAACAACAAAGTGAGTCGGAATGCGAAAATAAAATCAAAGCAACTAAATAAGTTTTATTTTTAAAAACAAAATTTCTTAATGAAGTCACAATATAGTGGGCCTGATTTGAATTCTAGTATTTTTTCTCTTGATTTTAATTAAAAACTTACGGTCACGGCAAAAAACACAAATATTTTTACTGGAATACGTTTTGTTGGTTAGAAAATTAAACCAAAACAAATAAAAAATAACTGATTCAAAGTTTTGTTCATAACAATATTTTTTTCTTATTTCAGTGAAGGGGGTGACCATAATATATCAAAAAAAAAAAACTCCTTACTCTACACTAAGTGACCACATGGCGGACCTGAATTGAGTCCTAGTGATTTCTCTTTAAAATCGCATTTTCCTAAAGATTCTTTGGAATTGCTTAATAAATAAATCAGACAATTTAGTTGTTTAATAAAGCTCCAATTTTTTAGTTTTTAGACCATTAACTTGTTTCGGTTTTGATCAGTTGCTTAATTCTGTTATATTACTTTGTTTTAATTTTCTATTTATTTTATATGTTTTCTAGTGTTGTATTTTATGAGAATCTATTTATTTATCTCACTATAAGAGAATATTATTCTTTTATTAAAAACGGCATAAAGAAGGCAAATTACAAAAAAATGTATTAAAAAACATGTTTCATAAGCCCAGTCTTGAAGCACGAATTCAAGTTTAAAAAACGAGTGGCGTAGCCACAAGTTATTTTAAAAATGGGTGCTTCAAGGTCTTACGAAACGAGTTTTTTTTTTATACAATTTTTTGTAATTTGCCTTCTTTACGCCGTTTTTAATAAAAAAAATTAACTTTAATCGGTTTAGGGATTCTTGTGACGTTTGGTAATGTCTTAATTTGAAAAATCAAAATTTGATCTAGTTGCCTATGACGACGTCATGTTCTTTAATATACAGGGTGTGTCAGAACTCGCGCTCCAGAGAAAAATTTCAAGTAAAATAATACCAGGGACATGGAAAAAAATTTGTCAAAAAATTTTGACATTTGACATTTTTTATATCTATTTAATGATACTGATGATCTTGTATATGTTTTTTTTTTATAATTATTTAGTAAAGGTACAAAAATTTTGCCAATAAAAGCCACAAATAACATTAGAGTTACAATTTAGGATAGAGCTTCCTTGTTTCCTCTTCTAATAGCCTGTAACAAAAAAACTTGGAAAATTATTTTTCCATTGAGTCAAAGTGCAAAATTTAAACTCTCATAACTTCGAAATTTTTATAGTTAGAATTTATTTAACGTTTTTTTTTCATGGTTTTCTCTGGGGCGCAAGTTCTGGCGCACCCTGTATAAGCTATACAATTAGGAATTCGGTGTATGTGGTACAAAAAACATTTGTCTCTTAATTAAAAATTTACTTAATTGATTTAAATTTAAATAATTTATTATAATTAAATTAACACAACTCCAGAGAGTTCAATTAACTAGCGAATTGAATAAGCAATTTTTCGGCAAGACTGCATCCACTTCCTGCCTTGAATTCAAGAACTGTCACAAAACCTGACCTAGATCGGAGTGAATGTCCCCAAAATAGACTCATTATTACCTATATGTCCTGGCATCCTTGCACCCGATATGTAGATAAAACAGTTCTCTGTGTTCCACACTCTCAATCAAACCCAGCGGCAAATGATGATGACTGTCACCCAATTGGAGATACAATCGATAATTCGTGAGAACAATCAATCCATCGACTGTTTTCCCATGATGAAAAATCGCCTCGCCTGCCAACAACTTGAACGGTAAAGACACCGAAGGCTCCAAAGGGGGCAAAGGGTACATCTGAATCGGTTGGACGTGACATATTGAATTCGGTTGGTCGGTTGTATCCATCACCTGGAAAAAAAAACTGATTTTGCGACCTTCAAATGACGGTTTTGGAGCATGCAAACAACGAGATTTATTAGGGGGCGAGGATGTTGTTACTCAACATTTTTTTGTTTTCTGTAAGGTACAGAAATTTTTAACAAGTGACACTTGTCACGTGATAAAGTTACCATGACTCGAGACATTCTTTATTGATCACACACTAGACGTGATTAAAAATGTGTGCTAACAAACACATTTCACACACATTTTTAGTGAAAGTTGGAAAAAGCTGCATTTTTTTAAGTGGGCCACTCTAAATCTGAATGAAAATCTAATGAACCGGCGACCGAGTCTTAAAGAATTTACTTTCTTCGTTGTCTGGTTAAGTAGGTCGCCGGTGTTTCCTTTAAAAAATCCAATTCACTCTACCGGTTGTTCGGTTAAAATACAAATCAACAATAAAATTACGTAAAACATCCGCCTACACATTTCGGGCAAAATAAATAAAAAAAATTACAGGTTGAGATATTTTTAACGCGAAATTTTCCTTTATTTACACGCAAAAAATGTGTCAGCTTAAGAAAAGATTAGTGGCCTGTGACTTTGAAAGGTTGGCAACATTACCGCCACAAAAATCTATTGGTGGCACTGGATTATTGGCAAAATTGGGCGAACGCTATACTCTTTTTCATACTAATGTGCATCAAGTAGGTTGTAGAAGTCTAAATGCATCTTTAATTTAAAGGCTGATTTACACAAAAAGTGTCATTAATGTAATTCTGAACAAATTTAATCACATCAAATAATGACAAAAATTGTTATGTTTGCTACCCTATGTTAATTTTAATTATTTTTTGCTACTTGGGGTTCACATTTATTTAAAAAAATAATTTTTAGGGAAGATTGAAGTTAGGATTGTTTGAATGTTTGCATGGGTGCCACCTTAAAATGTCAGTGACTACTTTGATGCACATTAATTTGAAAACTGTCAGTCAACCTAAAATTTTTCCTCTTTCAATCATGCAATATAATAATTCAAAAGTAACTAATTTTAAGGTTAGCCAACAAATTTAGTGCGTTGTGTTACCAACTTAATTTTCAAATCACAGGCCACTCTGATCGGGTATTACTTATTAAAATAGCATCTCATTAGGGAAAAATGTGAATAATTCATAACATTCCACTACATTCTCTCCACTAATCAGGTTATTTATCGCAATGCGGCACAATTTTGCGACAGTTTTGATTTTCCGTCGAATTGATTTGGCCTAAATTAGCGCATTTGTGTGAAAAAGATGGCAAAAACAAGCATGTTTCTTGGCACACTTCCAGAGAATAAAGAAATTGTCTTATCATTGTTGAGCCCACATTGGAAAAGTGGAACCTTGACTTTTCTGGTGCCTGGGGACACTTTCATATCGTTATCAGCGTTCGAGTGATAACGGTCGGCATTGATTGTTGTTATTTCAATTGCAATGAGAAAGTTTGACAGGAAAGCTTCGGCTTTCATCGAGATTGTTTATTTTTATGTCGATTATCAGGCGCCACCAAAACCATCTAAACACCTCGACAAGGGCAAACCCATAACACAATTCACGTTGTGGACATTTGGTATCAAATTGTAGGAAAATCACTCACTCGGGACTCGTCTCCCGTCATTCTCCGCACCACTGTTACGCAACGAGGGGGCCCCGAGACCGATTTAGCGAAAAACTAGCGAAAATCCCGACATGGTGAAATGTCAAATGCTGGTGAAATGCTGCCAATGGAATCGGTACTCACTACTTCGGGTCCGGTGCTTTCGCAACCTCACACTCTACACGACATTGCACTGATTTACTGATAACAAAGATAAGCCAATTTTGTAAATAAATGCCACCCTTTCGGTTTCGTAAAAGATAACACTGGACAACGTCCTTGTGACAGGCAAAATGGCGCCGGTGACGTAAAAATCGGGTCACGTGGGCCGGCAACGCCATCTAGACTACAGACACAACATCGAAAAAAAAATCGATATTCGTCAATAAAAAAATCAAAACTTGATATTATAACAAAACAAACCTTGATGTAGTTTCAAATAAAAACTTAAACAAAAACAAACTTTTTAATTTTTTTTGTGTAACAATTTTTATTACTTTCATCGAATAAATGTTACATCGAATAATATTTCTTGCCCGATTTAAATTTACTTCCGCCCCAAAAACAAACCTAACGTGAAAAACCACCCCGAAATTTGATTTTAATTAAATGACACAATTTATTTTGCCCAAAAACACGTGACGGATGTTACTGAGGGCGCCACAATCGTGCGATTCGCGTTTGTTTTTTTTCATTTTTCTCTCATGTTTAAAGGGCAAAAAAGTGTGGTTTCTTGCCATATTTGCTAATAATGGGGTAAGTTTTTGTTATTAGTTTATTACAAGGTGTGTTCAGGGCACGGGGCGTAGTTTTATTACAATTTTTGCACTTTTCCGAATTTGAGGTTAGAATTGACATTTTCCAGCATTTCGGATGAAAACTGTCTAAAGTTTTACTTGCGTCTCCCTGTTAAGATTGTCGATGAGCAACAAGTAAAAGACTTGCATTCCTCGATTATTAAAGTGGTTTTACCGCGACAGGTGAGTAATTAATTAATTTTCCTGTGTTGTGCTCCTGAATTGTGAATTGTAGAAATCTCGACGTTGGTGCACTGTCGAGCTTGATAGTATCTCCGGTGTTAAAGAATTGAAAAGTGTGAGAATCGACGGTAAGAAAATCTACATCAAGTCACTCAAAAAGAAGAAAAGTGAGCAATAAGTGTCAGTGATGATGGGGGCAGGGGGATTTATTAGAAATCCCGGGTGGGACACATTAAGTAGTGATGATTTGATGGACGAGGATTATGATAATGGTTTGGTTATAGACAATTTTTTTAATGATTTGGATGATTTTGAACTGCCCTCTGAAGTTGTGCTGTTTTTGCCCCCCACCGATGAAGAGCTGGAAGAAGATGACTTTTTCGGTAACTGATTTAGTTTCGATTTCTATTTTATTACAGAATGTAATTGTTATCTGTTTACATTTTGATAATAATACGTACATAAGATAACAAGACGAAATTAGTCACTAAAGTTGCGATTTTTTTGCTATGTTGGTACAAAGTACAAACCAAAGTTTTAAGTCACTGATAAGATTCTGACTGAATTGTTCTTTTGTCTTTTTTCCAGGTAGTAATAATCGAAAAGTTTTGTTTTTTTATAGATGACACGGATGATCTTGATGATGAAGATGATGAGGATTTCGTCCCGTGGGATTCCCTGGAAGATGAGGATTTCGACGACGACAACGCCATAGTGATGTCCAGTGACGAGTCGTCGCCGGAGCGAAATAATTAAGTATAATTTTTAATTGCCTGTGTTAATTGTTTAATAAAGGAATTTATTTTTGTGTTAATAGCAAGAGATAAACAAGAGTAATGTATTTAAGTGTTTATTAGTAATCCCTTTAAGCCAAATTTAACAAAAATAAAGAATTTTTAACAATTTTTGCCATATTAACAATTGAATAAATAATCAAATCCTAAGCTACATATAAAAAAGATGTCACACAAAGATATATTGTCCCTTCAAAATGCATTATTATTTTGTTTGTTATTATTACCACACCTATAGTGTATTACTTATTATCTAAAGATTAAAAAGAAAACACTGTATTGTTGTGACCTACAGTATAAAACAGTCCGAGATGATACAATTCTATCATATGTCCAAAAACGCCCTCTATACAGTAAAATTTGCAAAATAAGTCACACGAAACAAAATGGCGTACAGAAGCATGATACTTGTGCTTAAGCTTACAATTTTTTGTACCAGAACAAATAATGGTCTCCTTCGTCGATAAGTAAATCGTCGACTCCTGAAAATTTCCAGTTAGTAACATACAGGCTGTCCCAGTGAGTTTGTAAAGTCCATATTGACCTTGTTGAAATATATAGAAAATGGATAAATACGAAATTAATGCATCCCTGAAATTATTTTCAACTATACAGCATGTCTCAAAAATAAGTTACAATGCGAACTTGTATTTTGTTGACGAAAACATACTCTTTTAAAAATTTATTACACAAAAACTAAGACAGCTAGAATTTTTTTACAACTGCAAAGAAAAAAGTACAAATTTAAAGACTGTAACAATTTTTTAATGTGTTGCACTTGTATGTACATAAAAAGTTAGTTAAGAAATACAGTAAACAAATGGGTTTTTTTACAATTGGATGTTGTTTTTGAATTAAAAAAGTACCTCACACACACAGTAACACAGTTTTTATCTCATTTTGACTATTTGTAACCAATTGCAAAATTCAATAGTTTTCATTTTTTCATGAAAAAAGGCATCATTTAAATTGCATGAAAAAATACAGTAACATAACTAGGTAATCTACAATACGCCAAAAATAAATCAAAAAATTCTGCCGTACAGTTTTTTTATAAAAAATAAAATGGCCAAAAATAGAGGTTTTTTAAATTTATTTTAAAACGACACGGACAAAAAATTTCAAATTTATATACAGGGTGATTCAGCTTAAATGACCCACCTGACCCCTCCTTTCAGACAACACATAATACATTATGCACTTATTCCTTGATTCAAAATTAAATTTTCAAGATATCGAGAATCAAAGAACGATATTTTTCGATTCAAAATTCGAATATGAATCAAGAAATAATTGCTTTGTGTATTATAGGTTGTCTGCCAAGATGGGTCTAATGGGTCATTTAAGCTGAATCACCCTGTATATTGCTGCTAAGGCCATCAAAAAATTATGAATTTTTTTTCAGAATTTTTAAATAACGATTTATTTTTTTATTCAGTATAGTTCAACCTTAAATAACATAAAAAATTTAAATGGAACACCCTATTTTTTGTTTCTGCATCTTAGAGATTATCTAATTATCTTTACAAAAACATTTCTTTTTAAGTGCCTACAATTAATAACTAAAAAGATAATAAACAAAATGAAAACATTTCAATAGCCAAAATGTCACTCAATTATCATATTTATTTTTCATTTATCTTTTAATTTAACAATTCTAGGCACTAAAAATTTATTTTTTAGATAGATATTTTATCAATCTATTAGAGAAAAAATAAAAAATTCAATGTTTTATTTAATTTTTTGAATTATTTAACTTTAAACAAACTTCTACATTTTTTAATTTTTCGACTGAAATACTTTAAAAAAATGCTGTAGTCTTAAAGTTCGTACTTTGTTTTCGTCAAGTAAACCAACTTATTTTAAAAACTAAGTAAATCAACCAATAAGAAGTTCAACTTAAAAACATCCAAAAATGCCTAGAAACATATAGTGATTCACTTAAAGAAACACAAGTTTGTATTGTAACTTATTTTTGGGACACGCTGTATAGTTGAGGCACTAGATTAGTATTTATTAAATGCCTATACAGGTGTCCCAGCGAGTTGAAAAAGTCCATTAGCGACCTTTAAATGGTAAAATGAAAAAAAAATATATAGGACATTGATAGATACTAATCTAGTCCATCGCCTAAAATTATTTTCAATTGTACAGCGTGTCTCAAAAATAAGTTACAAAACAAACTTATGAAATGTGTTTCTTAGCGTTTTTGGATGTAGATTTTTATGACAATGTTTTTAAGCCAAACCTTTATTGGTCGATTTTGCTTAGTTTTAAAACTAAAACGATTTTTTTGACGAAAACATGCACTTTTTAAAAATTTATTACACAAAAACTAAGACATCTGGAAATATTTTTTTTACTACCGCAAAGAAGAAGGTACAAGCTATAAGGCTGTAACATTTTTTTAGTGTGTTGCATTTGCAAAGATAAAAAAATAAAGTCGTTTGTTAAAAGTTCAATAAATAATTATTATTGTTTCAGCACAAGAGATGTAAGAAATATCACTTAATAATCACATTTGTGTTAAACTGAATCCATTATTCTCTAAAAAATTGCTACAGCTTAAAATTCTGTACTTTCTTCTTTGCAGAAGTAAGAAAAAAAATTTCTAGCTGTCTTAGTTTTTGTGTAATAAATTTTTAAAGTATCAAAAAAACGTCTTATTTTTAAAACTAAGCAAAATCGACCAACAAAAGTTTAGCTTAAAACATTGTCATAAAAATCTACATCTAAAAACGCTAAGGAACATATGGTGTTTCATTTAAAAAAACACAAGTTTGTATTGTAACTTATTTTTGAGACACGCTGTATAGTTGAAAATAATTTTAGGCGATGGACTAGATTAGTATATCAATGTCCTATAAAAAAAAAATTAATTTTTCCATTTAAAGGTCACTAATGGACTTTTTCAACTCGTTGGAACAACGTATAAAATTTTAATGTTCAAAGGTGAATAATGGACTTTACTAACTCGCTGTATAGGTGGGGGAAAGTGACGTACCGACTGGAGCGACGAGCTGATTGGCTGGCGGAGCGCTGGGATCGGGTACTTCCGGCAGCCGATACAACAACCAATAGTTATAGCCCATCGGTTCCTCCTTAAACCCAGCCAAAGTGTGGACGTAGTGTCCATTGGGCCACTCGGAAGCCTCGAAGGTGAAGTGGGGGTCGAGCTCCATGGCCATCTGCATCACGGCGTAGAAAGACGTGTTCCGAGGTGCGGTGATGGCGAGTGTGCAGTTTTCTGTAATGTTGGACCCGACCCAGAGGGTGTAGGTGACGGTCACGTTACGGATTTCGGAGTCGTTGCCGTGGACTGAGAGCGATTTTGTCAAACCGTCGATTTCGACGTGGTTTTCTAGGTCGCCGTCGGGTTTGCCGCAGTCTAGGTTGCGGATTGAGCCTAGGCCGTGATTGGTTAAGGCGAGGATGACCTCGGAGGTCAGGCCGGGGTCGGTGAACGCACCGTCGGGGTCCTGGCGGGACTCGATGTATGACTTTGCAGCGGTTTTGTTCCAGTGGGAACTTGCCTCAGTCATGTCTTGGAGGGCCTGAAATTTGTATGGTTTAGATAATATTCAGGGTACGCCAGAACTCACACCCCAGAGAAAAATTCTATATAAGGTAAGATACCAGGAACATGGAAAAAATGTTAAAAAAAATTAAATCTATGAAAATTTCGAAGTTATGAGAGTTTAAATTTTGCACTTTGACTCTATTTATTTCTGTTGAAAAAATAGTTTTCCAAGTTTTTTTGCTATAGGCTATTAAAAGAGGAAACAAGGAAGCTGTATCCTAAATTGTAACTCTGTATAATCTTATCTGTGGCTTTTATTGGCAAAATTTTTGTACTTTTATTAAATAATCGTAAAAAACATACAAGATCATCAGTATCATTAAATAGACATAAAAAATGTAAAATTTTCAAAAAATAAATGTCAAAATTTTTTGACAGATAGAATTTTTTAAACATTTTTTTCATGTTCCTGGTATCTCATCTTACTTGAAATTTTTCTCTGGGGCGCGAGTTCTGGCGCACCCTGTAGAATAGTGACTGAAAAGTAATTAGGTTTCCGACATCTTCCGCCCTTTGAAATTTCGCGGGAAAGTACATTTTAGTGGGAATGTCTTGAAAAAATGTAATATGGAATATAACAACTAAATAAATACAGTTATGTATTTCTTTATTAACCATTTCATTTAAGATAATAATTTGAGTGTTAGTCGATGTATCCTAACCTCCAAAAATTGTCGTGCGATCGACAAAAATAAATAAATTATAGTAGGCGGTGATTATAATCCTTCAGATTATAATCCTGATTTTTGACATCAAATGTCAGACGAAACTTTGACAAGTTTGTGTTTTATTCATTTTGAGTGAAATAATGTTCACTTTAGAGCAGAAAATTTTTATTCTTGCAAGTTATTACAAAAACGCTGTACAAGATGAAAATGGTAATGGTGTTGCCAACTGTAGAAGATTAATCGTCACCTACTCTATATATTTTTTTTTTCGATCGCACCGCGTATTTGATGTGGAATGTGTTGGTAATATTATTCATGGCATTCTCCATGGCACATGTGTTGCCCGATCAAAAACATCAAATTCACCAGATCGGAGTTGAAAAATTTGCAAAATTTTCACCAGATTACGATTTGTATGGCAAAATCTCGCGAAAAACGCATTTTTACGCATAAAAATCTGCTCAAACTTTTGAAAAAAAGCAAAAATGATATGCTTTTCTGCCTAATTCTGTGATTTTTCGGCTTGTTTTCAACAAAATTTTGCGAAATAATAGCATTTTTAGCTGGAAAAACGTGCTAAAACGCTCGAGAAATGCAAAATAATGTAATACTTAATTTCTTGATTATTTAGTTTGCTTTAGCGAAATCTGGCGAAAAACCTGAGATTTTAGTACAAAAACGTGCTAAAAGCATTTTCGGTCAAATTTTGTGGTTTCTCCCTTTTTTGCTTAAAACGCCGGAAAAAAATGCAAAATAATATAATTTTAGACTTAATTTCTTGATTTTTGAGTTTATTTTAGCGAAATCTAACAAATCGTGGCCAAATTTTGTGGTTTCTCAGCTTATTTTTGTTCAAAAACCAGTTAAATCCAGTGGAACAAAGTCAATTTCAATTTAATTTTGTAATTTTTTAGCCTGCTTCAATGCAATATTTCGAACTGTTTTGTGTTTTTATCTCTCACAAATATTCTTAAACACTCGAAAACGACAAAAAACGCAGTTTTGGGCTATTTTATTGAATTTTGTGGCTTGTTTTTGACAAAATTTTGCAAAATAATTGTGTTTCTAGCGGAAAAAGCATTCGAAAAAACTAAAATAAGTTGTCATTTTCCACTCTGTTTAGTAATATCTTGTAAAAAAATAAATAGAACTATTTTTAACCAATTTGGTGGTTTTCGATTATATTTTCTTCAAGAAAATTTAACGAAATAATCAAGTTAAATAATAAAAGCTTAAGAGTTAGATAAATATATCGTAATATAATCTTTTTTTATAACAATTTAATGATTTTTGAAACGCTATGGCAAACTCTCGCGAAAAAACAGAGTTTTCAGCGTAAAAATTTGCTTGAACATTGGAAAAAGGAAAAATTATATCATTTTTTGACCTAATTCTGTATTTTTTGGCTTGTTTTTTTACCAACTTTGCGAAATAATTGAGTTTCTAGCTGAAAAACATATCAATCCTTTTTGTGATTTTTAGGCGTATTGGAGATTTTGCAAAATAAATGAACCTCTGATGATAGTTCAAAAATGAAGTATGTAAGTCGGGCGAAACAAGCTAAAAAATGATATCAATTTCGATTTAATTAATTTAATTTTTAATTTTTCAGCCTGTTTCAACGCAATATTCCAAACTTTTTGTGTTTTTCTCTCAAAAACATGCTTAAACACTCGACAAAGGCCAAAAATGCCGTTTTTAGGAGGCTGTCTTGTCGAATTTGTGGCTTGTTTTTAACAAAATTTTGCAAAATAATAAGAAAAAGACATAAATAAGTTGTAATTTTCAACCAATTTGGTGTTTTTCAATTATTTTTTTCTTCGAAAAAATTTGACGAAATCATCAAATTAATGCCTAAGAGTTAGGTAAAAATATCATAATGTAATCTCTAACAATTTAGTGATTTTTGACATGCTACGGCAAACTCTCATGATAAACCAGAGTTTTCAGCTTAAAAATCTATTTGAACTTTTGAAAAAGACAAAAATTATTTTATTTCTGTGCTTTTCGCCAATTTTGCGAAATAATTATAAAAGTATTCGAAAAAGACAAAAATAAATTGTCATTTTCGATCCTGTTTAGTAAAATCTTGTAAAAAAAAACAAACAGAACTATTTGTAACCAATTTGGTTTTTCGAGTCTTTTGAAAAAATNTTAGCCTGCTTCAATGCAATATTTCGAACTCTTTTGTGTTTTTATCTCTCACAAATATTCTTAAACACTCGAAAACGACAAAAAACGCCGTTTTGGGCTATTTTATTGTGCAAAATAATTGTGTTTCTAGCGGAAGAAGCATTCGAAAAAACTAAAATAAGTTGTCATTTCCCACTCTGTTTAGTAATATCTTGTAAAATACAAATAGAACTATTTTTAACCAATTTGGTGGTTTTCGATTATATTTTCTTCAAGAAAATTTAACGAAATAATCAAGTGAAAGCTTAAGAGTTAGTAAATATATCGTAATATAATCTTTTTTTATAACAATTTAGTGATTTTTGAAACGCTATGGTAAACTCTCGCGAAAAAACAGAGTTTTCAGCGTAAAAATTTGCTTGAACATCATTTTTTTATCATTTTTTGGCCTAATTCTGTATTTTTTGGCTTGTTTTTTTACCAATTTTGCGAAATAATTGAGTTTCTAGCTGAAAAACATGCTAAAACGCTCAAGAATAGCACAATTTATGTAATTTTCGACTTAATATTTAATATTTTTCAGTTCGTTTTAGAAAAATCTCGCAAAAAAATTGAGACTGTAGTAGAGAAACATGCTTAAAAAATTATCGGCTTGTTTTTGTCTTATTTTGCTCAAAAATCACTTAAAAACAAACAAAATAACACTAATATCAATTGTTTTTGTGATTTTTAAGCTTGTTTGGACAAGTTTTTCCAAATTAATTTTGATTCAATTTTTTTGGCCTGCTTCAACAAAATTTTTAGAATTTACTTTGTTTTTATCGCAAAAACGTGCAAAAATAACGCCGTTTTTTGGTCGAATTTGTTGAATTTTTGGATTGTTTTAAACGATATACCTAATTGTATTTCTAACTGAAAAGGTATTCGAAAAAAATAAAAATAAATTGTCATTTTCGATCCTGTCTAGTAAAATTTTGTTAAAAAACAAACAATTTTTAACCATTTTGGTGGTTTTTCGACTTTTTTGAAAAATCTTGATATAAACAAGGTTCTGGTTGAAAACGTAAAAAATGCTCGAAAAACAGTATTTTTCATTTCCGAAAAAATCACCAGATGGAATTTTTATAAAAATTTTCACCAAATCACCAGACTAACATGAAAATCACCAGATCTGGTGGCAACACTGAGGCGCAGTTTTCCATATTTTAAAACTTTTACAAAAATTCAAAATTCTGTCAAAACACTGTCTCGCGATACCAACCCAACATGTTTCAAATTACTGTAATTTCCAAATTGTGGCATACGATTCTAGTACTTTTCTTGTTACGGAGTTTTTCACCAAGACGTCAAAAAAGTAAAATCTATCAGTTCAGTTTACAAAGTTATAATTAGGCCGAGGCGAAGCCGAGTCGAAAAAACTCACTTGCATGGTCAAAGCTGTATTATACAAATTTCCAAAGCCCCCATCTGGTTGCTGCTGTCTTGCTAGACTAATACTGGGCCTCCTCAACGAGTGTTGCAAATTTCTGTGTCTGTGGTCCTTCACAATACATCGCAAGGCCAAAATTGTCATTGCCACTGTATCTGGAATTGAATTAATTAATTCCTCTCAATTTTTCTTTCTTAACTTACCAATGTTGTGGTCTTTGGCCGTGTTTGCGATGTCCAGCAGCCGCCTAATCTGCTTCTTCCTCACATGCGCCCTCGAGCTGCAGGCCGCCAACGTGGCATAAGCAAAATCCAGATCATGCACAGCCTCATGATGCTGCATGGCCCCGATGAGATCATGCCCGTGGAATTGCCTCGGGTCTTGACACAGCGTGCTCAACGCCAAGGCATACTGGGCCAATTTGGGGGGCGTAATGGGGACCTCGTGGTGTCGCCACAACAGAATCACAATCTCGATCTCTAATTGTTTGCTAGAGAGTTGCATTTCGACGGGGGTGGGCAAAGGTGAGGCCAAATCGTCGTGAGAAACGAGTTGGAGAGCGGTGACGGCTTTGGGGGTGTCGTTGCGCCAACCCCAAGTCACGTCGCGTTGGGTTATTAACCATGCTAAGGCCTTTTGGATGGACGAGTCGGGGTCGGGGGTTGCGGATGTCGAGCGGAACGAGCCGGTTGTTACTGTAAATGTTAGGGCAATGAGGTTTTATTGTAGGGTGGCATTTTAGGGAAAGGTCGGGTTGGGGGATTCATAAATTTGATTTTGATGTCAAGGGTTACGAGGGATCAAATGAAGGATTTAATTTAAGTGGGTGTGTATGAGACAAAATTAGTAAAATCTGCAAAGTTGGCAAAAATAGCGTTTTTTCACAAAAATTAGATATTGTTTTTTTTTAATTTTAAGGTTTTTGGCTAAGATTTTAACATTGAAAATTATGTAAATTTTTTTCATGTCAGAACTCGCGCCCCAGAGAAAAATTTCAAATAAGATAAGATACCAGGAACATGAAAAAAATGTTTAAAAAATTCTATCTGTCAAAAAATTTTGACATTTCAAAAACTCTTTCTCATTTTAAATAAAAATTTCTGATTCTTGCTTGAGTCACTATCGAAATTGTTCAAATTCTCATTAATATTTCCCTTTAATCTGAGCTTATGAATTATTATTTTCTCAAAATTTTGATTACTTTTCGGTGTCTTGAATTTTTAACACAAGATCTCTTTATTTTCTCGAGATTTTTGTGTTTCAAAACATTGACATTTTTCTATAATTTGTAAATAGTAAGATCTTGTTTTTTTTAATTTCAAATTTGACTACATCTCAGTATTTCCTCTGGTTTTTAGGTTTCAAGATTGAGAATTATGTTTTTTTAGGGTTTTTTATATTTTGTTATTTTAAGAACTGTTTATTTTTCAAGATTTTACATTAACACTTCTAATTTATACTTGCAATACTATCGAAATGTTCGATTTTAATTCTGAGCTTCCAAAGTATTCATTTCTCAAATCTTGTCTATTTTTCGGTGTTTTTAATCCTCTAATTTTTAATCCAAGGTTCCCTTATTTTCTGAGGATGTTTGTGCGTCAAGACTGACATTTTTTCGTCAGCTCTCAAAATTTGAATTCTTATTGCAAAGCTGCAGTTTTATTTTCCAAGATTTACAAAAAAATTCAAAATTTTGCAACTAGTAAGATTTTGTTTGTTTTTAATTTCATATTTGACTAAAACAGCAATTTTTTACAAAAAATATATATATAAGAAATTTGTAATTTGTAAATGGTAAGATATTACGACTTTAAAAAAAACAAATTTGATTACATCTCAGTATTTCCTCCGATTTTTGGGTTTCAAGATTTTAACATTGAAAATTATGTTTGTTTTTTTCAGGTCTTTACTTTGTTTCTCATTTTTTATGTTTTGATTTCAAGAACTCTTTATTTTCTCGATATTTTTGTGTTTCAAGACATTCAAAACAATTTCAAATTTGACTACATCTTTGTATATCCTCTAGTTTTTGGGTTTCAAGATTGAAAATTATGTTTTTTTAGGGTTTTTTTTCTTTTTTGTATCATGTTATTATAAGAACTGTTTATTTTTCAAGATTTTACATTAAGACTTCTAATTTTTACTTGCAATACTATAGAAATTATTCAATTTCTTTTCATTTCTGGAGTTATAAATTATTAATATCTCAAAATACTGACTACTTTTCGTTGTTTTTAATCCTCTAATTTTTTAATACGATCCCTTATTTTCTTAGGATGTTTGTATTTCAAGACATTTTTTTCTTCAGCTCTCAAATTTTGAGTTTTCAAGGAGGTTATTATTATAAAACAGCAGTTTTATTTTTCAGGATTCACAAAAAAATTCAAAATTTTGTAACTACATAGTATGATTTTGATTTTTTTTTTAAATTCCATATTTGACTTTGTAGTTCTTCCGGATTTGAGTTCCAAGATTTTAACATTGAAAATTTGGTTTTTTTAGGGTTTTTTCTTTTCTCGTTTTTTATATTTTTATTTCAACAATTATTTATTTTTGTCATTTTTTCTTCAGGTCTTAAATTTTGAGTTTTCATGTAGGTTATCGTAAAACGATAAAAAAACTTTTACAAAAAAAATATATAAAAAAATTGTAACATTTAAATGGTAATGAGAATGACTTTTTTTTAATTCAATTTTTTTTATATCTAAGTATTTTTTCCGGTTTTTGTGTTTCAAAATTTTAACATTGAAAATTATGTTTGTTTTTTTCAGGTCTTTGTTTTGTTTTGTTTCCCATTTTTTTATGTTTTGATTTCAAGAACTTTTTGTTTTTCAAGATTTTAAATTATTTTTCTAACATTTGCAACATTTGAAAGTTCTGAACTTTCAAATTATTATTTTCTCAAAATCTTTACTACTTCTCGGTGTCTTGAATTTTTAACCTAAAAGTTCTCAAGAGTCTCAAGACCTTGACATTTTTCTTTAGCTCTTAAATTTTGAATTTTCAAGTAGGTTATTATTGAAAAAGAGCAGTTTTATTTTCTAAGATTTACAAAAATGTCAAAAATTTGTAGGTGGTAAGATCTTATTTTTTAATTTAAAATTTGACTACATCTCTGTATTTCCTCCGGTTTTTGGTTTCCAAAATTTTAACATTGAAAATTACATTTTTTTTTCAGGTTTTTACATTTTTTCCCATTTTTTATATTTTCACTTCAAGAACTTTATTAGACTCAAGATTTTGGATTCTCACTAATTTTCCTTTTTTTTGTCTTGAATTCTTGACTCAAGTTTGCTTTATTTTCTTAAGATGTATTTTAAGACTTTGGCTTTTTTTTCAAGTCTCAAAATGTGTATAAAACAACATTTACCTCATCAAAACTAGAAAAAATTCTAATTAACGTTGCAAAAGCCTGGGATGAAGGTTGGTAAAACTAGATTTCTTTTTACTGCTATGAAAAAGCACAGCTAAAAATAATTTGAAACGGATAAAACCCCATTTCGAAAGCTAATTTCAATAAAAGAGGAAACATTCCGTTACAAAACGAATGTAAAATCGATTCATACTCAAGCCTTACAGCCCAAAAACACGAAAAGACTTAAAAGCAAAATGTATTTGTTTAGGAAATGACAGAAATAGAGTCACTCACCCTAACAGAAACCTTACAATAACCTGCCTTTATTAATTAATTTAGAAACACAAAGGGGCCATTACTCAATTTCTCCACAAAAAATCCAACTTTTAATTAATTCCGCCTGTCGTTCATCACAAATCAATACTTAATTAATCACACAAAGGAAATATTTCACTGTCAATCTCGATTCATAAAAAGACTAACTACGATTTAATTTCCCATTTTTTTTTCACAAAGTGAATGTTCAGGTAGTAATCTAAGTTGGAACATGAGTTTCAAATTTTTGTAGCGGAGTTACGCTTCATTAAAACTTTTAAATCCACGCTGAAATATGATCCCCACTCGGGAGGATATTTATTACTTGAAGCTTTTTCAACTAATCTATGTAAAAAACCATCCAAATTTAATATTATTTTTTACAAATTTTAAACAAGAATAAAATAAATCACAGACGAGGAACCAATAAAAAGCGATTAGTGTTAAGCCCACAATTGAAGAAAGTTTCAACGACGAAAAAACTAATAAAGTGGGAATTAACGAAATTTGGAACGAAACTTTTTGTATTTTCCCAATTAGGAAGCTTTCTAGAAATCTGTTTATACAATCCTTCACTTTGTGACAAATTTTTATCAATGAGGAAGAAAGTAATTACACCAAGATTCCAACTTGTAACAATAAAAGAAGTTGGAAAAGTCAAGGCACGAAAAGCCCGACATTTCCATTCGAGAAGGAGGATTGCAGACAATGTAAATTTATAGAGTAATAGCCTTAGTGGCTTTTCCGGGAAAGATGTGCAGTGAAATTTGATTAGGAGGAAATGCAAAACACACGATTTTTACATTTCACGTTGAAATCACGACAATACATTAAGTGTTTCTCGGAAAAAAATTGTGCCAATGAATTATTAATGTAAATAAAAAATTCCATAAACATTTCGATCGCTTTATTTCGTTCATTTAATCATAACTTGTTGACATTTATAAACACAACGTTTGTGTTTACTTAGTTTTTTATTTTTTAATAATTCAATGGTTTTTTCGCCACTCGAAAAACAGGGTTTTATTCTCAAAAATTTCTAATTTCTAAACTTGTTTTTTTTATTTGCAAATTATGTTTTTATAGTAACCCCAATGCTACAACATTTTATCGCCCACTTAATGCTCTATTTCATTATTGTTAACGTCCTTTTCATTTTATTTTCGTTTTTTATTACATTTGTATCATCAATAGTGACCTGTCCCTGATAATTGATTCGATATTAAACATTAATGGGTCACGTGTGTCACGTGTGTTTCAATGTTTTAGAAAATAACTAGAACGGAAATGTTTTTTTCTAACAATTTTCAAAGAATTTGAATTAAAATGAGGGCAAAAAATACCAATTTTTTCATGTTGTGTAATTTACGTAACACTCTGGGAAATAAAGAAATTGCGTCTTGTAGCCTTTGGGAAATTATTTTCTTAGGGACTTTTGACGTCAGATTACACGGAAAAGTGGTTAAAACGCGAAATAAATTGATAATTTCATTTAAAAAACAACAAAATTTGTTGTTAAATTACTTTTAATCAAACATTTTTTCCTCATTTAACAATGTTATCTGTTGTAAATACAAAATTTTATTGCACTTTTAAGTCTCAAACTAGAGGACCGTAGTTTGTGTAACAAAAGACAGTTAAAGTGGTCTCTAGACGACCATTACGTTTTACAACAATACATGTCGTTTTAGAAGCAGTTCGATTTTTGCACTTTGTGCTCTAAGCGTCATAATATGGCAATAAATGTACACATTGTAGTATTGCATTTAAGCGAAACATCATTAAAAATAAAAAACAAAATCTTATTTCCTGTCTTTTATAACAACTGATCAAAAATAAACAATATGTTTTTATTTCGAATAATTTTGTTGAGATTTTCCAAAGTGTTTATTAATTTAACTAGTGCAGTTAGTAGTGCAAAATGCAAAAAATAATGTCATGGTAAAAGTAAAAACGTTAAGGCTCAAAAATAGAATTTTTACTCCATGGCTGAAAGGTAAAGATTTTGACATTTATCTTTAATCCGAGCTTTCTTAAATTTTTGACTACTTCGTCTTGAATTTTTAACCCAAGATCTGTTTATTTTCTCTAGATTTTTGTGTTTCAAGCTTTTGAGATTGGTTTCAGCTTCCATACTCTTAATAGAAAAGAATTTAAAAAATCAGAAAACCTTATTTCGTGCTCGACAACTTTTTATAAAATTGTTTTTTTTTCTAAGATTGGCACACGTTTTAGGTATTTTTGCGAGTCTCTAGGAGCCCTAAAGTGCAAAAAACCTTATTTGATGTGATTTTGAAACTAGATTTTTTTCGATTTTTTCAAAATTGAGGAACTATTAATCGTAGGCTTCACTATTTGATATCGTTGTAAAACACTTTCAATTTTCTATCACATCAAAAAAAAATCGTCGGTCTGCGAAGTTATTTATCGAGAAAATCTTTGATATGTGCAGAAAAACTACATTTTAAACGGAAAAAAACTGAGTTAGAAGTTTGCGAACTAGCTAAGTGAAGGTGCAAACCTCTGTCAAAAAAAATTATATTGAATTAAAAACGTTTAGGCTCAAAAATAGATTTGTTACGCCATGGCTGAAAAGTAAAGATTTTGACATTTATCATTAATATTTTCCTTTAATCCGAGCTTATGAATTATTATTTTCTCAAAATTTTGACTACTTTTCGGTGTCTTGAATTTTTAACCCAAGATCTCTTTATTTTCTCTAGATTTTTGTGTTTCAAGACATTTTTTTGTTATTTGTGAATTGTAAGATTTTGATTTTTTTTATTTCAATTTTGACTACATCTCTGTCCTTCCTCTGATTTTTGGTTTCCAAAATTTTAACATTGAAAATTATGTTTACTCGTACTTTCGAAATTGTTCAAATTTTCATCAATTTTTTCTCCTTATTTTCTCAAGATCTTTGAATTTCAAGACGACATTTTTTCTTAATTTTTGAGTTTTCCCGCAGGTTGTTATTGTGAAACAGCAGTTTTATTTTATAATATTTACAAAAAATATCTCAAAAATTTGTAGATGGTAAGATCTTAATTACTATTACGCATTTAAGCGAAAAATCATTAAAAATAAAAAAAACAAAATCTTATTTCCTGTCTTTTATAACAACTGATCAAAAATAAAAAATATGTTTTTATTTCGAATAATATATTGGAATTTTTGTTGAAATTTTCCAAAGTGTTTATTAATTTAACTAGTGCAGTTAGTAGTGCAAAATGTTGAATGTTGATGATCTACAATGAAATTGGTAAAGCAACGAAAAAGACAAGAAAGAAACAACATTGGTAAATGTCAATAATGTCATGGTAAAAGTAAAAACGTTTAGGCTCAAAAATAGAATTTTTAGTCCGTGGCTGAAAGGTAAAGCTTATGAATGATTATTTTCTCAAAATTTTGACTACTTCTCGGTGTCTTGAATTTTTAACCCAAGATCTCTTTATTTTCTCTAGATATTTGTGTTTCAAGATTGACATTTTTTTGTTATTTGTAAATTGTAAGATTTTGATTTTTTTTATTTCAATTTTGACTGCATCTCTCTCCTTCCTCCGATTTTTGGTTTGCAAAATTTTAACATTGAAAATTATGTTTTTTATTTGCAATACTCGTACTTTCGAAATTGTTCAAATTCTAATCAATTTTCTCTTCAATTCTAAGCTTTCAAATTATTAATTTCTTAAAATCTTGACTATTTCTTGGTGTCTTGAATTTTTAACCCAAGGTTTCATTATTTTCCCAATTTCCTTAAATTTCAAGACGTTGACATTTTTTCTTAAATTTTGAGTTTCTAAGCAGGTTGTTGTAAAACAGCAGTTTTATAATACATAATTACAAAAAATATCTTAAAAATTTGTAGATGGTAAGATCTTAATTTTTTAAATGTACACATTGTAGTTATTGCTATTACGCATTTAAGCGAAAAATCA